GAAAGTAAGTTCTTCTCAGAAATTTATCCTTTCTTAGTGATATAAATACTCCTTACGATTTCAGTTGCCGATTAATTCTATCATAGCTATCCTGTTCAAGTTTCATTACGTTCAATTACTTATAAGTTTCTTATGAAGAATTACAAAATGTTGTCATATTATTCTGCCCTCCGCTTTCAGTTTCTGTGTAGGCTTTATTTGTCTTTCAAATATAGGTGATAAAGAGAAGGTGTTACAGTTCCATACAGCATTAGAGGAAGAAGTCTCATTGTAAAATTGTCTTCTTTCATTATGGTAAAACAAATTTTTTGAAACGGATAAAAGCCATCTATATGTCTTTTCAAGAAACTTTTTTGAGTGTAGATTTTTAACGGATTTCAATTCTTTTGCTAACTTTTGGTTTAACTGGGAAGACAGGTTACACCTCTTTGTTGTTAAAACGGTGTACTAAATAAAGAATTTGAGAAGATTTAACTTTATACTATCAGTATGAGAAAGTACTTACTAATTCTTCAAATGATAATGTCACTTTATTCTGTTATAGTGCCGAGTGCTGAAATTTTGCTCAATTTTTTCAGAAATCATTTTATCAGCTAAATTTTTAGCACTTTTGTTGTGCGCACTTATACAAGCTGCGTATTGAAATCAGTTCATTGTGTTTTCGAATTTTTCTGTATTTTTCTGGTGGCTGAGTCTACTTTGTTCTTTCTTTTATTGTTGTAAAAATTTTAGGATGATGATGAGGATGACGCAGAAGTTGCCAATATTGAGTTTAATGAAGCGTTATTTGATGTTGATGATGTCCCGGAGCTAGAGAGTTTGGACGACGAATTGAAGGTTTCAGAAGACCTTAATCAGCTTAAGCTCTTTGAATTTTGTGGTTATTGAACTGTCAGTATGATGAATCAGTCTTTTGGTTATGTTGCTGACTTTAAATCGGGGATTAGCGTGCACCTATGAATTCTCTCGTGATAAATGTAAATTGATAAATGTTATCTGTGTAGATGGAATTTGCGATATTTGGCTAAAAAACGATAATGCTTTTGTGGGTTCAAGCTGGTGGAGGACAATTGGTGAGCAATATTTTCATGTCATTTTCGTTT